GTGCTCTTCCGATCTAAATCATCAGACTAATATAAATTGCGAGCGAATGCATTGACATTATATAGTGTAAATTTTGTATTTAATTTGTTATATTTCCACTGAGGATGACCGCTATGTAAAAGGGTCGAAACATTTGGTATAATTTGTATATCAGTTATTTATATTTATATTAGAAATGGTTTACCATCTTACAAGTCAATACATATTATGTGTATTATTAGCACGTACATCCAGCTTGGCTCAACATCTCTGTTATTGATTTTATTTGAAGTTATTACGAAATATTTCGCAGTTCGTTTTTCGTCAGTCCAGTATTTGATAAATTAATGATGCGAAGCCGGAACGCATATATAAAACAAGGCCAGATTTTAATATCTTTCAGATTTTTATCTGTACACTATATCTTACAAGTGAACGCACATCCCCAGTCAACACGCATGTCTAAACGACATCCGAAAGATGTCTTTTCGGACTTTACGAAAAAGATGTCTTTGAGACAACTTTTAGCAAAGTCCGAAAAGATATCTTTCATGAGACGTTTTATAAGATGTCCTTTTTAAAACATTTTTCAGAACACGAATAAGACATCATCATGATTTTACAAAATAAAATAATTCGTGATCGGGCAATGTGATATATTGTGTAATGCGGGTGTACTTATAGTATATATTTTATTGCTTTTGAAATTGGAAATAATGGAATCTGTATTGCGGATAAAACTTTACGGTGGACAACTACGCGTAGTACATATAGTTACGTATAGTGCATGAGTGCTGCCAGTGCGCGCGTGTACCGTACTCGATCTTTACACGTCTGATCAAAAGGATTGACATTTTAATCCAAGATAATTTTTATTATTGAACAAAAATATTCGACTAAACATTATAAGCATTAATTATTATAGATATTTGTGTTAATATTTACAATAATATTTTTTATTATATTTCATATTTTATATAAAAATAAAGATTTACATAGTTGAGTTTTTATTTCACAAATATCTGCATATTTATCGACTAATATTGGTCGATATTATAAATTTATAATAGATACAAACACATTTCTTTCGTCCTTCAAACA